ATAAAAACATACATTGAAGTTATAGAGGTGAGGATCAACTAACATACTATAAAAGTACAATATACATATTAATTATAAATATTAATAATAGAAATACCATAAAGAAGTAATTATAAATTAATTTCTGATTTTATAACAACATAAAATGTTTGAGAGTTTAGTGTAATAAGAATAAACATATTAATAATTATTTTAATCATATAAATTTCAGAAGAATAGTATCAATAAAAACATTTTATTTTTATATGAAGTTATTTCTTTTAACCTTTTTTAAATATTAATAATTTGTTGTTGTATGTATCAATGTGCTGTTTATGATCTTCTTCATTATTACTCACTATTTATTAAAAAAATAAATAACTTTCAGTATTTTACATTAAAGAATAGAAGGTACATAGAAATGTAATACTTGTATTATATTTTATTATCATAACAAAAGAAAACACAATAAATCATTCAATTTTTAAATAAAATGTAATTCCAAGAATCTCTCTAAAGAGGTTAACCAAAAAAAAATAAAAAGTCTTTAAGAGAATGAAAAGACTAGTTAAATGAATATTTACTCATTCAGTTTAACTTATGAAATAGTGTTAAAATATTTTAAAAATAATTATATGCTCATTATACACAATATTTATGAATGAAATCAAATGTTTTTTACTTTTAATAAATTACATTATAATAACTAATACAATAATGGATATATTGAAAAAAATCCATCATATTTTAATGTGACTCTGTACATTTATGTAAAAACAACTATTTGTTTATTATTTTAACATTATAAAAGTAAGAAGTTTATAGAATAAATAATAATATTTGATTAATATTCATTGTATCAAGAAAACAAGAAGTACATTATCTGTGTTTTTATTCACTCTTTGTTTAAAACAGAAATTATCATAAAAATAAAACTTCGTTATATATATCAATGTAATAAAATAAAAAAAAAAGAAAAATTTAAAAAATAACAAAAAAATAATAAACAACGGAAAATGGAAGAAGTTATCAAAAGAGGGGATGGAAGAGAAGCAAATGAAATTCGTGCAACAACAATCAAAATTGGAGTGATCAGTGGAGCAAAAGGAAGTTGTTTAATACAAAAAGAAAACAGTAAAGTCATATCATCTGTACAAATCAAAACACAAGATGAATCAATAGATTTTGAATTTACAGTAAAAGTGACATTTGCTCAGTTTGGGAACAATGACTTACTCAACAAAAGAAAAGAAGTTGAGCTTCAAGAAATCTTAACACAGTCATTAGTTTCTCGTATTAATCAAGAAAGCAATAAAGGAAAAATTATTTGTTTACAAGTATTTGTTATGGAGCAAGATGGAAGTGTTGAAGATAGCATAATCAATTCTAGTTCATTGGCATTATTTGATTCAGAAATTCAAATGGATAGCATTATCATTGCAACAACAGTTGTTAAATTGCCAATATATAACCAAGTTATTGTTGATCCAACGGCACTTGAAGAAGAGAAAAAAGAAGGATCAGTTCTAATTGCATGTATTCCATCTAACTCTTCTATCACTCAAATTTATATGAGTGGAGTATTAGATCCACAAGATATTTCTAGTTGTCTTTCTATTGCGTTGGATAGTTGTTGGAAATTAAACAAAGAAATAGAGTTAATTATACAATCAAAAAACGTTAAGATGATTGAACATTAATAAAATAATTACTTTTATTATTTTTCATGGTTTAAAAGAAGAAAGAAATATATATAAAATAGTTGTTTTATTTTCCTTCTGTTTGATTACTTTGTTTTATTTCTTCTTTATATCTATTTGTTTTTATCTCTTGACACAATATATAAGCTCCTCTATCAAATTTTCTTCTATCTCTAATGAGATGAATTAATACATCTTCTGGTTTAATTTGTTTTGTTGGTTCATCTTGTCTAATTTTAAGTGTGAACTCCAATATAAATTCTATAAGTAGTTGTTCAATAAGTTCAACAGTTTCATCCATACAATTTTCATCACCATTTGCTTTTAAATATTCTTTTATTGTTTTAATGAATGAACCTCTTGTATAAGTTTTTCGTGATTTAGTTTGTTTAATTTCATCAGAAATATCATCATTTTCTGCCATTTCAATAAGAATAATTTTTAAGTTTTTTTTTTTATTTTTTATTTTTTTGGTAATAAAAAAAGGAAGTAAAAATTTCTTTTACGTAAAAAAGTAAAAATTGAATTGAGTTGAAACTAATAAATCCTTACAAACTTTCTTAATATATATGCAATATTTTAAAATACTTGCCATTGGAGATGATGCTGCTGAAAAAGTTCAGTTATTGACTACATTTATTGAAGGAAAGTGTCCTAAAGAATATATTCCTACTGTGTTTGAAAATTCTACTAAAACACTTAAAATAAGAGGAAAACAAGTAATTTTAGACTTATGGGATTCAACTGGATTTGATAATTTACCTTCTATGAGACAACCATTATATTCTAACGTGGATATAATATTAGTTTGTTATAGTGTTGTAAATAAAAACTCATTCATTAATGTAAAAAATAAATGGTATCCTGAAATGAAATCATTATGTCCTCATACTCCATTTTTCCTTATTGCTACTCAATCAGAAAAGAGAAATAAATGTAGTGAAGTTAAAAACCATCTTATTTCTACTGGAGATGGATTACAATTATCTAAAGAACTTAACGCTATTGAATTTATTGAATGTAGTGCTAAAAATAATGAAAATGTTGATTATATCTTTGAACAATGTATTAAAGTTCTTAGTCATGATCTTCACAACCAACAGTCTCACGATCAACAATCTTTGTATGAAGATCGTAGTACATTTATCTTCTGCTATCTTTTGTTTTTGACTCTTTCCTTTGTCTCTCTCATTATTGTTTCAAAGTAAATGCCTTCTTTAATTCATTTCAATTCTTTCAATTTTAAGTTTAATTTAAAACAAACAAAAAAAAGAAATTGCTTATTATTAAATTTCTTCTTCTCTAACTGGAAGATAAAAGTTCTTTAATTCATTATAACAAGGGTTTGATTTCATTGTTTTTGATACTCTAAAATATTTTTTGACAAGAGGAATTAATACGACTTTGTTTTTATTCATAAAGAAGTCATGAAAAGCATTAAGATTAATATCACTAATTCCTACAGGATTATGACTTTTATTTATTAACTCAGAAACTTTATCAACATCATTATCATCTAACCAACTAATAATAAATGAAATACGAATACGATTTTGTTGTGGAAGAACTTCATTTATTATTCTTTCTGTTAGATTTGATTTAAAACTTATTGTTAATTTTTGCAAAGATTTGTTATTTTTAATTGCAGCAAAAACATCTTCTAATACTGGATATTTTGTACTATCCCCAATACGAACAGTAAGTTCTCTAAGCATAGGCATTGTTTCTAAATTAAATACTACTGAATAATTTGTATCAATCCCAATAGTTGATATACGGTTTCTAATACTTAATGCCATCTTACAATCTTCAGGATTATCTCTCATCATAAATTTATAAATATTAAACATCTTATACTTCGCTACTATAATATAAATATTATTTAAGTTTTTGACTTAACTTGAATTATATTAATATAACAAACAATCTACTTCATTCATTTTTTCTAATTCTCTAAAATGGACTTGGTATGTGTCTAATTGATCAAATACTTTTGATTCAATTCGTTGCATCCTTCCTATTCCTAAAGTAATGGCAAGTCCAATTGAATTAATTCCACAACATGGATTAATTCGTGTAGCACTGATAGCAGTTTGACAATTATGGGATACAAGATTAAATCTACATAATGTATCAACAGAATCAAAGTATTTAAGAACAACCATTAAATAACATGGCTCTAATTTTTTCTATTGAAATAAGTACAACATTTGTCAACAATATTGAAATATTTAAAAACTAACTGACATTCTGATTTGTTGATATTTAAAGTTTTCTTTTTTTTTCTTTTTCTGTTATTTTCTTAAATACCAAATTATTTATTTGAAGTATCATTAATTTTGATATAAAAAACAAAATATTCATTTATTTTTCTTATTCGTTGATTTAACTTTTGACTTTGTTTTTGGTTTTGTTACTCGTTTTTTCTTTAATGGTGGTGGTGCAGCAACTATTTTTCCACTTGAAGCAAAAACCATTTGCCCAGTTCTTTTTCTGTTATCTTTTTGTGTTTCTGTTTCAGTCTTTTCTTCCTCATCATCAGTCCAATGAATATCTTCAACTTCTTCAGAAGATTGTTCTCCAAGAAGAAGACTTTCTTCTGTAATTTTATCCTTTAAAGCTTGTTCTATTGGTTTAGAGAATTCTTCTAATTCTCTTTTATTTTTTTCTTTTTGTTTTTCAAGAGCACCACGAGCATTTTCTTCAATTTCTTTCAATGCAAGAATGTCACCAATGGCTATTCTATTTTTTTTAATATTTCTAACAATCAATAAAACGTCTTTAACCGTTGGCATTGGTGGTATTTGATTAGTTTGGGCAATACCATCCATTCTAGTTTCTTCCTCACAATAACCAAAAATATCTTCTGTGTTAAGTTGCATTTGATCAATTAGTGCTTGTGTTTCTTTACTTTGGTCATTAGCTTTAAACAAAATAAGAGCAGTACCACATTCTTCTATACTAAATTCACTAGCTTGTATGTTATATTTTGATTCATTATTACTTATAATAATACAAACCATTAGCAATACATGTTATTATTAAGTTTTGAGTTTCTAAATTAATCTCTCCTTTAATTATTTTTTCTTTTCCTAACACCTCTATATGGGTATTGGTTTCATTTTCTAATTTATACATAAACTTGTCACATAGTTCATCATATCCAACAATGGCAACTTTAAGTTGTTCAATTGACATTTCAATATTTTCTCATTACTTTCAACTCAAAATAAAGATATTATAAAATATATTAATTTTATTATAATTAAAATTATTTCATTCTTTTTGTTTTAAGAAAGAAAAAACAAAAAAAAACAGTTAATGGAAATACCATTTATTGTCCACTTTATTATTGGACTATCTCTTCGTTTAATATTATTAAATTTTTTACCAACTTACCTTTTACCAAGTAGAGTTGAATTAAATACATCACCATTTGCTTTGTTAGATCAACCAAATGAAACATTATTAACTGAGGTATTTTCTTATATACCACAGGAATATCTTTCTTACGTCGTAATTATATTATCTGTGTTACCTTCCCTTCCATTAGTTACAATATCAAAGACATCGGCATGTGTTTTGTTGTATAACCCATTTGGTATCTTAGCATCCTTATCAATATCCAGTTATTCATTAATAACACTATTAGAATCGTTGATTCTTCTTATTCCTAAACATAAACACTTGTTTTCTCCATTCCTTCCAATAACAATCTTTTTATACCCAGCGACATTACCCTTATTACTTCCATTATTACCTTCTCTTTCACCAACAGTACTTCTTACTTGTCCAATATTTTATTATTTCCGCTTTTGTAAAGAATTATTTGTGAGTGATTTAACACCAAACTTAGGTTTATATTGGAATTTATTTACAAATATGTTCCCTGAATATAATTTGATGTATACAGTTATATTACCCTTAATACCATTAATTATTTCTTTCTTTATATTCACTAGAATGATTACTCATCAATTTTATTATTTCTTCTGTGTAATGTTATTGATTGCTGTATGTAATCCTTATCTTTCTGTTCAAGATCTTCTTCTTCCAATGGCTTTGTATAATATCCCATGGTCTCATCTTTGTGTTTATTTCTGGAAAGCAAAAGTATTAACTTTCATTGTTCCTATCCTTATTATCATGTTTTCTATGTTTAATGATGCTTTAAAATATGTTTGTTATTATTTGTAGTTAAATTTTATTATATACTTATTAATTAGTCATTCTTCAACAGCAACATGGCTTATTCTATGAATTTAGCATTAGGATTTTCCTTATTCTCTTTTAGTGAAGAAATCATTAATGGGTGTCTTCACAATGATTTCCTTGTTAAGCACAAAGTATTAGAAGATCGTCATATTGATAAAATATTCTAGTTGAATAAAATCAGACTTTCAAAACTAAGACATTACTTCAGTTAATTGGTGGTTCTTTTTTATAATTTAATTAATTATTTTTGAGACATATTTTTGTTTTTTAAAAGACTCTACACTGTCTTTATACAATTTTATAAAGGTTTATATTACAAAGAATGATTGTATGTTGTTGAATAGAATAGTTATTGTTATTGAAACAAGTTAAATGTAATAGATATTATATTATAATTAAAACAAAAAAACAATTTATTAAATTATTAATAACAGTTGTAAATAAGTTAGTTTGTTATTCAAATAAAAATGAATTAATTTTTAAGATAAGGTAAAACATCATTCAAAAAAGATTGAATCTTTTGTAATTGTTCTACAGTTAAATTTAAGTCATCTACAATTTTGTTTTCTAATAATTTTATTAATCTTTCAATAAGGTCTTTTGTTTTAGGAATCATTGTAACATCACATTCAACATTTTTGTGTTGGGTTTTAATATTTTCTTTTCCATTTAATTTTTGAATAATAATAATTAATTCTACTGATGTTTGGTAGAGTTGATTAGCGTCATTACATTTATGTACTTTGTGCATTAATGTATGAATTGTATGAATAGTTTTTTGTGCTTCTTCATATAATTCTTTTGGTAATTGTCCTTGTTGTTTCATTAATTCTTTATATTCATTAACAGAAATTGATGATGCTTTATTTGGTGTAATTGAGTCTTTTCTTTCTTTTTCCATTTTCTTTTTATAAGTTTCTTTTACTTCACTCAAGAAGATTTCTGAATCACTTTCTGACCATTCTTCACTTTCACTCATTTCTTCTTTATTTTTTTGTTTATTAAAATCTTCACTATCCTCACTTTGACTAGAATCACTATCACTAACATTATCATTATTTTTATTAATTACCTCTTTTTCTTCTTCTTTTACTTTATTTTCTTCTTTATTATTAAGAGGTGTAGGTATAGGTTTTTCTGCTTGAATACTAAGAAGATTTTTACCTTTTTCTGTTTTTTCTTCTTCTTCTCTTTTCTTTCTTAATTCTTCAATTCTTTTTAATTTTGTTTCTTGAATTTTATATGTAATTTCTGGTAATGTTTCACATTCAGGTAAATATTTTCCAAGTTTTATATAAAGGTCTACTATTTTATCATTTAATTGTCTTATTTCATTTTCATATGAAATTATTGATTTTTTCATTGATAACATCATTTCATTTAATGCAGCCGTTTGATCAAAGAATGTAAATCTTTTGATTGTTTCACCATTATCTAACATTGGAATTAATTTATCTTTTATTCCTGGTACAGTATCAAGTTTCTCATAGAAGTCTTTAATTATATCTTCTTTAAATCCAATTAACCCTTTAACAATAATAGGTATTTCTTCAACAATAACAGAATCACTAATAGATCGCTCATATTGTGGCATTTGATCATTTGAACTGATAATATTCAAAAATTGATTGACGTGATCATATTGTGATAATACATAATCAGAAAATGGTTGCATACATTCTTCTCTAAATGGACATAATGGTTGATTCGCAATAGATTGAACAACTTTACTAATTAAAATCAAAGTACGATGTCCATTATCATTTGGAAGTAACATATTACTACCAAATCGATGTGGAGAAACAATAGCTGGATTAATGAACCTTAAAAATAAAAATCCACCAATAGCAATTAATGCATTTTCTGGCCATTTTTTCATTACTTCTTTCTTAATAACATTAAAAATATATGAAAAATCTGGAGAAATTAGTTTACTAAGAATATCAAATTTACATACATGTTCTTTTAATATTGTTAATAATGTTTCAATATTTTTATCAACAACTTCTTGTGATACTTTAGTATTGTCTACTTCAAGTTCATTTGGTTGCTCATTTACAACTTTTATTATTGGATTAATATATTCTTCTAATATTTTTTTTCCTTCTTTTTTCATAAATGATGACATTAAATGAGTAAATCCACCATTCGCTCTAAATAATTGTGCTTTATCTTTTGTATTTCTTACTTCTTCTGTTATGTGTTGTTTTAATAAATAAATTAATACGGCATCACTATCTAAACAATTCCTTATAGCATCCCAAAATGGTACAGCATCAACACCACATGTTCGTATAATAGATGATACAACGTGATAATCTTCTAAACGACAAATCTAACATAAGTCAATTATTAATTCTATAAATAATAAAAATACTAATATCATTAAACAAACATTCCATATTGCATTTGACTTAATACTTTCAGGAATGTCTAAACTAATCTCAACTTCCTCTTTAACTTTAGGTTTTTTCTTAAATATCGAGATTCTACTCATTTACTGTACAAACACTTTTGTTAATTTCTAGTTTTACTCAATTTTTTTTATCTCAAAAAAAGGATTATATTCAACAGAACTTGTTTTGATTTCCCGTAAAGTTTCTCTTTTGTCCACAAAATTTGTCAAATTTTTATGAAATATGAAAAGACTTTTTTAAAGAATAATTAATTTGTAAAAAGATATTATCCAATAAACCTTTATTTTATCAAAAAATAGAAGACTCAAAGAAAAAAAAAACTAAAAATAAAGAAAAATGAAGTCAAAAGCAGAGAAAATAAACAACGAAAGTATAGAACTTGAGTTTCAAAAAGCTTTTAAAGAACAAAAGAAACAGAAGTCAAAACAAAAGAAAAAACCAATACACGATGACTTTGATCAAAAACAATTTGATTTATTAATTGAACAAGAACAATCAAAAAGACAACTTCAAAAAGAAGAAACAAAAAAACTAGTTGAAGAATATTCTCAACTTACTGCTCCATGTTTCGGAAAAGGTGAAATGATAATTCCAGATTCAATCTCTTTTGGAAAAGAAATTAAACAAATTTCAAAATGTAAAGTACCAAATAATTGTACTTGGGACTACAACCTTAATTGTAAAACATTAACATCTCTTAGTATACATAAAGAAGGAAATGTTTTAGTTTGTTCAGGTAATGATGGAATAATTAGAGTGTGTGGTTTAAAAGAAAAAAGTGTTGTTGAAAATTTAATAGGACATCAGTCTATGATTCCTAGAGTTACATTTTATGATAATTTTGTTATTTCTGTTTCAATGGATGGAACTGTAAAGGTTTGGGACATTGTAAAAGGAGAAGTTATTACTGGATGGACAGAAGCACCCAATTCAACTGATGAAAAACCACCATATAAATGTGTTATTGCCAATGAAAATGGTATTTTTGCAGGATGTGCAAACAAAAGAATATTTCAATATGACATAAGAGAAAAAAAACATACGTGTGAATATATAGTTGATTCAATTCCATTAGATGTTGCTCATTGTGGAAAAGGAATAGTATGTTCATCTGAAGATAAAATAATAAGGTATTATGACTTAGGAAGTGGTTCAGTTACAAAGGAAATTCAAGACCCTAATATTCAAACAATGTTTTGTTTAAATGATTATCATGGAAAATATGTTATTGCACAATCAATGGATAATTCTATTGTTTGTTTTAGAGGAGATCCATTTAGACAAATGAGTGGAAGGGTATTTAGAGGCCATTATCCAGGGGCTTGGTGTTGTCGTCCTTCTTTTAGTCCAGATGGACAATATATTCTTTCAGGAGATGCTAATGGTAAAATATTTATATGGAGTTGGAAAAAAGGAAAAATACTAAAAGTATTTGAGCATGCTCATAAAGGATGTGTAACTGATGTGATATGGCATTCAACTAATAGTTCTTCATTTATATCATGTGGATGGGATGGTAATTTATGTTATTGGAATTAATTTACTTTATTTATTTTATATAATATAACTTATGAACAAACATAATTAAAAAAAAAGAAACCAATATAATTTTCTATTCCTTCTTTGTTTATAAGTTCAATTTACTGTTAGTTTAATCCAACTTTTGGAATCCAATTTCAACAGCCTTTTCTCTGAAACATCTTCTGCATAAATCAAGTCCATATTTTCTAATAAGACCTTTACGGGCTCCACATTTTCTACAAGTTCTTGAACCATTTCCATAGTTTCTTGGATGAGCGTTGTAAATAGAGTAGCTTCCCATTCTGAGTGGATTGTCACTTTATTAAGATCATTTTATTCTTTGAAAACCCTTTTCATTTTTTTTATTATTTAATTATAAAATTTACAAGTTTATACTTCTTTTAATTATTTTTAATATTCCTCATATTTCATTCTTTATTTCATTTTCTTATTAATCTTCTTTTTTATTAAAAAAATATTATTATTTAATTATTATCTTTTGAATAAAATCTAAAACCCTAAAAAAGATCAAAATATTCTAAAAAACCTTCTCATGTCACACAGAAAGTTTGAAGCACCAAGACACGGATCACTTGCTTTCCACCCAAGAAAGAGAGTTCATAAAGTAAGAGCTACTGTCTCTGCATTCCCAAAAGATAATGCTGCTGAAAAACCACATCTTACTGGATTCCTTGGATTCAAAGCTGGTATGACTCATGTTATTCGTGAAGTTAAGAGAACAAACACTAAACTTCCAAAAGATGGAGTTTTAGAACCAGTCACCATTATTGAAACACCACCAATGGTTGTTGCAGGATTTGTTGGATACAAAAAGACTACTACTGGACTTAAACCAATTACAGCTGTTTTTGCTGAACATATTGCTGATGAATTCAAAAGAAGATATACTAAGAAATGGTACAAAAATACTAAAAATCAATTTGCTGTTCATACCGAAAAATACAATGATGTAAAAGCTAAATCAAAGAGAGAAAGACAAATTAGATTAATTAAGAATAGATGTGATGTTGTTAGAGTAATTGCACATACTCAAATGGCACTTGTTCCATTAAAACAAAAGAAAGCTGAAGTTATGGAAATTCAAATTAATGGAGGATCAATTGCTGAAAAAGTTGACTTTGCTGTCTCACTTCTTGAAAAACAAATTAGTGTTAACTCAGTCTTTGGAACTGATGAATGTATTGATGTGTGCTCAGTTACTAAGGGACATGGATATAATGGTGTTATTAAGAGATTTGGTGTAAGACATCTTCCAAGAAAGACTCACAGAGGATTAAGAAAAGTTGCTTGTGTTGGAGCATGGCATCCAGCTAGAGTTTCATGGACAGTTGCTAGAGCTGGTCAAATGGGATTCTTCAAGAGAACAGAAGTTAACAAAAAGATTTACAGACTTGGATGTGGTGACCTTAAGAACGCTAAAACAGAATTTGATATTACAGAAAAAGGTATTACTCCAATGGGAGGATTCCCACATTACGGAGTTGTTAAGAACGATTTCTTGATGATCAAAGGAACTGTAGCAGGTATTAGAAGAAGAGTTATTTCATTAAGAAAAGCATGCTTCCCATCAACCACTAGAACAGCTCAAGAACAAATTGTTCTTAAATTCATTGATACATCATCTAAATATGGACATTCTAGATTCCAAACAACCACCGAAAAGAAAGCACGTATGGGACCAATGAAGAAAGACCTTGAAAGACAAAGAGCTGAAAAGGTTGAAGAAGGAAAGAAACTTTAAAGATAATTGAATTAATTACTTATTAATATTTTTGTTTTTTATTATAAATAATAACTTAATTATCCAATAGTTTTATATATTATTTAGCATTAACTTTGAATAATAATTACTTTAATAACATAAAGAAATGAAAGTTCAAGATTCGTGAGTTTAAAATAATAGAGTGATTAATTTTTATTTAAAGCTGAAGACAAACAAAAATTGTCAATTAATAGATACATCCACAATTGAATTTTATGATTATTGAGAAGTGATTATTGCAGTTTCTTCAATATGCTCTATTGGTGTAATAGAGTTCATTTCCAATATGTTCGCATTAGATTGTTCTTCTTCTAGTGTGTTGCCAGAATTGAATGTATAAAACATTAAGTCTTTCATATTTTTTATTATTATTGTTCGTAGGATTTTGGGGAAGTGTAATTGTAATTTTAGTGTTTTTAATCTTCTTGCTGATTCTTTATGTATTAAACCATTTATTGATAATATAATAGGTATTATTTCTACATATATTAATTCTCTATTGTTTCTTATTTTCTCTTGTAATTCTTTGTACTTATTTATTTTATGAATGTAATTTAATTCTAAATTATTATCTTGACATATAACAACATCTATAATATACCATTTCTTTTCTTTCATATTTTGATAATATATATCTTATCTTCTAGCATGGAATGAATTGTCATTAACCAATAAATCTTTATTGTAAGTTATAACTATTTTATCATTATTAATACATTTTGGAGGAATATTAAAGTCGATAGCATCAAATTCATTAAAATGGGTAATTAATAAATGTTTAAATATTTGTTTACAAACATAATCATGTCTTGATATTTGATTCTTTTTCATTACAGGACATCCTAACAATATATGATTAATAGATGCAATTGTGTTATGACAATGTTTACAATATTTTAAAGCATCATTTTTGAGTATTTTTGATTTAATACTTCATTTCATACTTACACCTTCTTGCATTTTTACTATTTGGAGGAATGCATTTCTTTTTATATTCAATGACATCCATGTTGTTACTGTTAATTTCTTATCATTGAAAGTTCCATTTGCACATATTATATATTCTCCACATTTCTTTTCTTTCCATTCATTTAAATATCTTTCATTTAATTCATTATTTACCCATTCAAATACTTCCTTTACATTGTGTTTTCTTTCATTTAATTCTATTACATTCATTAATTCATTAAAATTAATATTCTTACAAAATGATTTCTTCATTCTTTTAATTATTCAATTTGGATTTTCTTTTATTGCTTCTATCATTTCTCCTATTCCTGTGCTTGATCTCCACTTATATTTTAAATATATTCTTAATAATTCTTTAGCACATTCATCTCTTGCTGACATTAATCCTAATCCCATTTCATTTATTTTAACATATAGTCTACTTTTTGGGATATTTCTACTATATAATTGGAGTTGTATTAATGCTTTTCTTATCTGTTTATCTATCTTCTCCAATTCTCCTAGTTTATATTTGACAATACAAAATCCATATCTTAATTTGGAGATTATATCACTATTAATCTTTCTTATTGTAATGAGAATGCTGTATTTCATAGTGTTTAATGATGATAAAATAGAAGACACATCATTTAATATTCTTGTACAATATTTATTAATATTTACTTTATCTCCTATTTCAATACCTAGATATTTATAAGGATTGTCATTAGTTACTCTTGGTAGTTCAGCTAATTCACCATTTATTTGACTATTAATATTAGTCATTATCCCACTCTTTTCTACATTGATTTTTAATCCTATTGCATTAAATATTTCTTTAGTTAATTTGTGTGCTTTTTCCATTTCATCGAGGCTATTATTCATTATCTTTAAATCGTCCATATATAATATGTGGTTTAACTCGACTTGTTTTTCTTCTCCATTCATTTTAGTATTTAATTTGTTTATTTGTTTATCTAACTGAAGGTTTTGAAGTTGAAAATAATCAAAAAAAAAAGAAATAAAAAAAAAATGTGAAACAAGTAAATTTATTTTATTCAAAACAATTATTGTGGTATAATGGTTTAATTTCAGCAACAAAGGAACGAAGTCTAGAATCAAAATCAATTTTTTGTATTACATCTAAATCAGAAATATTTGATAAAGTAATTGATTGGAAAAATGAAAGAAACTTTTCTCTGTTTTTACTTTCATGAATTTCCATGGCAATTCTATATTGAGTTTGAGTATAAACTTCTGGATAAATAACCATGATACCAAAAACTAATTTTTCTAAAGTCCATGCTTCAAATTCATTGAATAAATTATCGAAGACATTAAAGAGAATATCCCCTATTAAAGGCTCTACAGCATTTAATAATTGTGCACAGTATGAATTTTTTGTTCTTTTCTTAAATGAGTCAAATAACATATTTTCTATTGTTGAACTTCCCATTACAATAGAACTTACCTTCTTTTGTTTTAATGCAATTATAGCACATTTAATAATAAACAACACTTTATTACTTTCTAATTGTAAAGACGTTACTTGTTTTGAAATAGTTTCTACAAAAGCAAATAAAATTTCTTTTGTTTTAGGATATACTTCTACTACATTTTCTAACATCATAGCAAATTCACACATTGAATTTATTAATAGTGAAACAGTATTATCATTATACAATTTAAATGCTGCAAAATTAATATGACTATTTTGTAACATCCATACAGACGTTGCTAGTCCAACAGTAGCATTTTTTATAAATGCGTCAAATTCTACTGTTTTAGTATTTCTCATTATCATTGACGATTGTTGAATAGAAGTTTGTGAAAACATTGTTAATAACCCAGACATACTATGGAATAGTATACATGCAGTTGGACATTCTGGTGCATAATTATATCTAAAATCTCTTGCCATAGAAATTTGTTTTATTAGTTTTAATGAAAAATACCAATTGTCTCCATTTACTGGTTCATTAGGAAGAGCCAAATAAATATCTTTATGTGCACAAATATGTTCAAATATAGGTGGTATACATTCTACAGAAGAGTGTGATGTTTTTACTATTGCCCTAATATCAATTAATTGATAAGTATGAGGGTTTAAAAATTGAGTTAAAAATTGTAAATGAAATTTACTTGGAAGACTATATAATAACATTCCTAATGCAGTAAAATATAATGTTCTAATTTCTATTAATTCTTTAGCATTTTTTAATTGAATATTATCAATAGTTGTAAATGCATTAGTTTGAAATAAATATTTTAGTGGAGGTCTTTCAAT